GGGTCGCGACTATCAAAGTTCAAAATCGACGAAGGGGCTGCGATTGAAGGCTCATCGAGTCGATCTCATGAACAAGCACACGAGAAAAACGCTCGCCCTGTTGAAGCTAGCCAGTTGTCATGGCAGTAGTCAGCTGATATGCGGCGAACTAAACCTGCAAGATTGCATTCGGTGCGACCCAAACAGCTTCTGCGAAGGTCGTCGAGATCTGCAAAGCGTAAGGACCGAACTTCGGTGATGCTAAGCGCTGATCGAGAGAAATGCCCCAGTGCACCAATAAGCGTCGGATGAAATCGAAAAATATTGGTCACATACTCCAGCGAACCCTTGCCGGTTTGAATTTCCTCTTTGGGAACCCGAGGTCTGGGTCTGAAACGAAGCCGCCAGCGTCGCGCGAGGAGAACTTTAATGAACAACATGGGTAAACTGAGCGAAATCGATGAGCACATCGCTCGCGAGAAAAGAATCATGGACGATAGCGAAGCCATGAAAAACATCGACAAAGATTGTGTGACCTGGAAGGCGACAGGCGGACCAGATTGGAAGCTGCTTCCTCAACCGGGAAGCCCTCAGGTCGCATAAAATCAATACGTGCGAAACCATCGACTGAGTCTTGAGCGAGGACACCAGCTGGCCGACAGGATCGAATTCTGTTCAGGAACAAGGAATAACCATCGCCAGCGTTCTCCGCGGCTTTGAGCTTCATCATATCAACCCTGGTCGTATGGCTGACGGGTGGTGGTGGTACACCACCAACGAATTCAAACCCATCATCATCATCAGGCGGCGGCGTCAGAGACTGGATCAAAAAAAACATTTGAAATCTCTCGGCGAAGCCCTGCCTAAACAGCCGGCAAGGCCGGCAAAGCCACCGAAAGCTCTGCCTGGCATCTTGGGCAGCATCGTTTCCTGGTTGTTAGGCTTCTTGATGACGTGTCTTGGTCAAAACCTGTGGGCTTTCGTTGCGCCATGGTGGGTCTGGTGTACGTCACGGCTAAGGAAATTTGAACCAAATGAGGCGCTGGCCAACGCGATCCTGGCGACCACAAACGCTGTTTTGCGATTGACATGCCGCTGATTGTGTGCCTGCACGTGTGGGGGCAGCTGCTGCTGTTGTTGGCATGGTGGTGCTACTTCTTCCAGTGTCAGTGTCATGATGCCCGTTTCATGCGGCGACACAACCCGACTCACGTTATTGACGTCCTGGTTCAAACCAGACTTTTGATCAACCAGTTGCGATGGCGATTTCATTGCTGTAGCCCACCACTCTGTTCACCCTAAAGTCGCATGTAAACCGGGCCATGTACAGTCTCACGCCAAACATAAGCGTCCGATGGCATTCAGCAGATCGACCGGTCTAGCAATGTCATCCTCGAAGTTTGACATGGACTGTTTCTGCGGCGTCGTAAGCTGTCCTTCATGACCGTGATGCTGAGACGCATTTCCGTCTGAGCACAGCACGGCCCACACACGTATGTTCAGATCGAATCATTCAATCTCGGAATTGAAAATATTGGTTTTAGACATTAAACACGATCCCGTGCGTATAGGATATCTCAGCCGCGGGCTGCACACATAGTGAGTCTCAAGCGTCCAGGAACATGCGTTAGAAACATAAGCGCCAACATAGCGATTTCCGACCTCAGGGACATCGCGGATTCGACGAACCGGAGTCGACGGCAAACTGTACGCCTTGCAACTGAAAAACAACATTTACAAACGTGTCAAACTGCTGCCCTCTACTGCGGCTGGTAGTAAGAGCGACATAAGGCGATTTCGTCAATACCGAAGGAAGCGGTCAGCAACCGTGATACGACCTCATCATAATGGCGAGGACAAATGGATGATAACCGCTGGCGTTCCACGGCAGGCTGTTCCACCTGGACAACGTCGGGATACGGACATCTCCAGAAACATGCAGTACCTCCTATCTTCAACGACGACAACAAATGGGTATTAGTGCCATCCCAAATCGACTGGAATCTCAACATCACGCTCGACTCTCCCCACGTTTTCACGGACAACAGAGATCCCTACCTGACAAAAGTCGTGAACAACGGAACCCTTCTCGTGGATTATGTCCCTATGCAAAGATGGATCATGATCGTCAGCACGTTGAGGCAAAGTAGCCCACATGCTGTCGAGAAATCCGGGATGCAAAACGTGGGATTGCAGATGGTGTCGGAATTTGACAGTCTGGAAAATCTGCCAGCGAAATTCATGCTGTACATCCAAGTCTACCTCGACGAACCACCGTCGGCGCATGTCGTCATCAAAATCGTAAAAGGGATCAATCTCTGGTGGGCCAAACAATAACAATACCAAGTTTGCTCCGTTTATGTGCGGGTGAACGTTAATGCCTACACCAGTCTGCAGGGAGTCACCTTGACCGTGGAAGACAGAATATCGCTCACCAAAATTTACCTGCTCGACCACATAGATCTCATGGGTTTAAAGTACAGGTCCGAGGAATTATCCGATAACCAATTGAAAACCATTTCGTAATTTTGTATAAATCATCATCCCAACGTAACGCTAGCTGATCTCGGGGACATGTGGGGATTCGATCCGCCCAGCGATGAAAACATCTTGTACGTCCTGCATTTAAAAACACAACGTGTACAAACGACGAGAAGTTGTCTTCGAATCTCAGTTGAACTGGATTATTAACCTGGTCCTGACCTACCCCTGTCTTATCACGGATGATAATCGTAATGTGCTCGAGCAAAAAAACAAAGGGGTTCTACAGGACAGTTTAATTCCGATTGAGGAAAATGGAATTTACACAACACCATTACCAGATCCAACAGCTAACATGCTAGTTGCCGTCCGGAATACGGAACACAATAGACGTATTTAATTTTTTTTCTCAAAGCCCCAGACTCAGGGGGTTTTAGGATACAGGGTTCTACCTTTATTATCGAAGTCTTTCTTAGAGATGCCCCCGCACAAAAGGTGCAGCTTCTGGGTGTGTTATACAAACGCTGGTATAAACACCATGAAAATCAACGCTGTCATATTTACGTACAACCAGGAACAGTCCCCACCACAAACCTCGATAGAGTCCAGGTTATTCAGGATGGATACACCATTACATTCGAGGCCATTTTTATCCGAACATTTTCATTTGATTGGCTTAAAAGAGTATATTCACCGACGATTGACGGAGGACCAATTAAATATCATTTCATAAGAGAGTATATACAGAATGGGACTGTACCCAGTCGTGGATGAAGTGGCGAACACACTGGAAACCGTAGATGGGTTTCGTTTGCGACAGATATGCGAGATCAAACAACAACTAAACCGTGAATGCGATACGCGGTCGGCATTACAGAAAAAAATATCACACGGCCGTCAATTCCGTGGACGGTGTTGACAGCGCTCTGGTTTCAGTCAGTAAGGGATTAGGCGTAGCAGGTATCGGGTTATTATCCACCATCGTGGCTGCACCCGTGGTGTTAGGCATCAAAACAACAGCCGGTGGCACGGTGGATGGGATTGACCCTTAAATACGTGTCTCTCAGACTGCAACATAAAAAGCACTGAAACACTACGAAATTAGAATTCTAGACGAAGCAAAGTTAAACAGGATAGACGATAATATTTCCACCGCGGTCACTGACTCTAAAATATCTGAGGAAGAGTTTCGTTTGGTGCTATCAGAAATCGCAAAGTATCACAGAAGAAAAAAAAGAGATTTAGACCAAGTCTCGTAAAAACGCCGTCATTTGCGAAGATGAGAATTATTTTTCATAGAACGAGGGAAGCAACAGGCCCAACAAGCCTTCATTACGAAAACTAAACAAATCGAATCCTGATCTGAAAAGGGAAGTCTTTAAAATAGCCTTATATAGAAGGCAATATAGCCTTATATAGAAGACAATATAGCCTTATATTGTAGACAATATAGCCTTATATAGAAGACAATATAGCCTTATATTGTATACAATATAGCCTTATTTAGTAGACAATATAGCCTTATATAGTAGTCAATATAGCCTTGTATAGTAGACAATATAGCCTTGTATAGTAGACAATATAGCCTGATATAGTAGACAATATAGCCTTATATTGTAGACAATATAGCCTTATATAGTAGACAATATAGCCTTATATAGTAGTCAATATAGCCTTGTATAGTAGACAATATAGCCTGATATAGTAGACAATAAAGCCTTATATTGTAGACAATATAGCCTTATATAGTAGACAATTTAGCCTTATATAGTAGACAATATATCCTTATATAGTAGACAATATAGCCTTGTATAGTAGACAATATAGCCTTATTTAGTAGACAATATAGCCTTATATAGTAGACAAATAGCCTTATATAGTAGACAATATAGCCTTATATAGTAGACAAATAGCCTTATATAGTAGACAACATAGCCTTACATAGTAGACAACATAGCCTTGTATAGTAGACAATATAGCCTTATATTGTAGACAATATAGCCTGATATAGTAGACAATATAGCCTTATATTGTAGACAATATAGCCTTATATAGTAGACAATTTAGCCTTATATAGTAGACAATATATCCTTATATAGTAGACAATATAGCCTTGTATAGTAGACAATATAGCCTTATTTAGTAGACAATATATCCTTATATAGTAGACAAATAGCCTTATATAGTAGACAACATAGCCTTACATAGTAGACAACATAGCCTTGTATAGTAGACAATATAGCCTTATATAGTAGACAAATAGCCTTATATAGTAGACAACATAGCCTTATATAGTAGACAACATAGCCTTGTATAGTAGACAATATAGCCTTGCATAGTAGACAATATAGCCTTATATAGTAGACAATATAGCCTCATATAGTAGACAACAGAGCCTTTGATATTAGACAATATAGCCTCATATAGGAGACAATATGGCCTTTTTGTAAATGCACAGAAAATAGCCTAAATTGCAGAGAAAATAGCCTTATATTGCAGAGAATATCGCCTTGTATTTGAGCTGATGACAGACGACTTACGTTTAGTGACATTGCAGAAGTCGCCGTAGTATGTGCGGTTGTCCTTACAACCCAGGAAGCACTGTCCATTTTGGCGGTTACAAACGTCGTTCCTGCAGTTCTGGTGGCAGTGAGTGTTGCACATGTCGCCGAACCATCCCGCAATACAACCTTCAGAACACTTGCCTGTCTCGCGGTGACAGTGACGCAGTTGTTTCACTTCGTTAGTTTGACAGTTCAGAGGACAGGTGAGGTTGCAGTGTTCGCCATAGGTCCCCCAATCACACGATATGACACCGTGGACGGCGAGGACTGAAACATGCAGACAATACATTCTAGTATATATCTGTGTTACCCAGGCCAGGACTGTTACATGTCGACAATACATTCTAGTGGATATCTGTGTTACCCAGGACTGTCACATGTCGACATACATTCTAGCATATATCTGTGTTACCCAGGACTGTTACATGTCGACAATACATTCTAGTGGATATCTGTGTTACCCAGGACTGTCACATGTCGACATACATTCTAGCATATATCTGTGTTACCCAGGACTGTTTCATGTCGACAATACATTCTAGTGGATATCTGTGTTACCCAGGACTGTCACATGTCGACATACATTCTAGCATATATCTGTGTTACCCAGGCCAGGACTGTTACATGTCGACAATACATTCTAGTGGATATCTGTGTTACCCAGGACTGTCACATGTCTACATACATTCTAACATATATCTGTGTTACCCAGGCCAGGACTGTTACATGTCGACAATACATTCTAGTGGATATCTGTGTTACCCAGGACTGTCACATGTCGGCAATACATTCTAGTGGATATCTGTGTTACCCAGGACTGTTACATGTCGACAATACATTCTAGTGGATATCTGTGTTATCCAGGACTGTCATATGTCGACAATACATTCTAGATGATATCTGTGTTACCCAGGACTGTCACATGTTGACAATACATTCTAGTGGATATCTGTGTTACCCAGGACTGTCACATGTTGACAATACATTCTAGTGGATATCTGTGTTACCCAGGACTGTCATATGTCAACAATACATTCTAGATGATATCTGTGTTACCCAGGACTGTCACATGTTGACAATACATTCTAGATGATATCTGTGTTATCCAGGACTGTCATATGTTGACAATACATTCTAGATGATATCTGTGTTACCCAGGACTGTCACATGTTGACAATACATTCTAGTGGATATCTGTGTTACCCAAGACTGTCACATGTTAACAATACATTCTAGTGGATATCTGTGTTACCCAAGACTGTCACATGTCAACAATACATTCTAGTGGATATCTGTGTTACCCAGGACTGTCACATGTTGACAATACATTCTAGATGATATCTGTGTTATCCAGGACTGTCATATGTTGACAATACATTCTAGATGATATCTGTGTTACCCAGGACTGTCACATGTTGACAATACATTCTAGTGGATATCTGTGTTACCCAGGACTGTTACATGTCGACAATACATTCTAGTGGATATCTGTGTTACCCAGGACTGTCACATGTTGACAATACATTTTAGTGGATATCTGTGTTACCCAGGACTGTCACATGTTGACAATACATTCTAGTGGATATCTGTGTTACCCAGGACTGTCACATGTCGACAATACATTCTAGTAGATATCTGTGTTACCCAGGACTGTCACATGTTGACAATACATTCTAGTGGATATCTGTGTTACCCAAGACTGTCACATGTTGACAATACATTCTAGTGGATATCTGTGTTACCCAGGCCAGGACTGTTACATGTCGACAATACATTCTAACATATATCTGTGTTACCCAGGACTGTCACATGTTAACAGTACATTCTAGTATATATTTGTGTTACCCAGGCCAGGAGAGTTACGTGTCGACAATACATTCTAGTGGATATCTGTGTTACCCAGGCCAGGACTGTCACATGTTGACAATACATTCTAGTGGATATCTGTGTTACCCAGGACTGTCACATGTTAACAATACATTCTAGTGGATATCTGTGTTATCCAGGACTGTCACATGTTGACAATACATTCTAGAGGATATCTGTGTTACCCAGGACTGTCACATGTTAACAATACATTCTAGATGATATCTGTGTTACCCAGGACTGTCATATGTCGACAATACATTCTAGTGGATATCTGTGTTACCCAGGACTGTCACATGTTGACAATACATTCTAGTGGATATCTATGTTACCCAGGACTGTCACATGTTGACAATACATTCTAGTGGATATCTGTGTTACCCAGGACTGTCACATGTTGACAATACATTCTAGTGGATATCTGTGTTACCCAGGACTGTCACATGTTGACAATACATTCTGGTGGATATCTGTGTTACCCAGGACTGTCATATGTCGACAATACATTCTAGATGATATCTGTGTTACCCAGGACTGTCACATGTTGACAATACATTCTAGTGGATATCTGTGTTACCCAGGCCAGGACTGATACATGTCGACAATACATTCTAACATATATCTGTGTTACCCAGGACTGTCACATGTGAACAGTACATTCTAGTGGATATCTGTGTTACCCAGGACTGTCACATGTCACCAATACATTCTAGTGGATATCTGTGTTACCCAGGCCAGGACTGTTACATGTCAACAATACATTATAACATATATCTGTGATACCCAGGACTGTCACATGTTAACAGTACATTCTAGTATATATTTGTGTTACCAAGGCCAGGACAGTTACGTGTCGACAATACATTCTAGTGGATATCTGTGTTACCCAGGCCAGGACTGTCACATGTTGACAATACATTCTGGTGGATATCTGTGTTACCCAGGACTGTCACATGTTAACAATACATTCTAGTGGATATCTGTGTTACCCAGGACTGTCATATGTCGACAATACATTCTAGTAGATATCTGTGTTACCCAGGACTGTCACATGTCGACAATACATTCTAGTGGACATCTGTGTTATCCAGGACCGTCACATGTTGACAATACATTCTAGTGGATATCTGTGTTACCCAGGACTGTAGTATGTCGACAATACATTCTAGTGGATATCTGTGTTACCCAGGACTGTCACATGTTGACAATACATTCTAGTGGATATCTGTGTTACCCAGGACTGTCACATGTTAACAATACATTCTAGTTGATATCTGTGTTACCCAGGACTGTCACATGTTGACAATACATTCTAGTGGATATCTGTGTTACCCAGGACTGTCACATGTTAAGAGTACATTCTAGTGGATGTCTGTTTTACCCAGGACTGTCACTTTTTGACAATACATTCTAGTGGATATCTGTGTTACCCAAGACTGTCACATGTTAAGAGTACATTCTAGTGGATGTCTGTTTTACCCAGGACTGTCACATGTTGACAATACATTCTAGTGGATATCTGTGTTACCCAGGACTGTCATATGTCGACAATACATTCTAGTGGATATTTGTGTTACCCAGGACTGTCACATGTCAACAATACATTCTAGTGGATATCTGTGTTACCCAGGACTGTGACACATGTCGACAATACATTCTAGTGGATATCTGTGTTACCCAGGACTGTCACATGTTAACAATACATTCTAGTTGATATCTGTGTTACCCAGGACTGTCACATGTTGACAATACATTCTAGTGGATATCTGTGTTACCCAGGACTGTCACATGTTAACAATACATTCTAGTTGATATCTGTGTTACCCAGGACTGTCACATGTTAACAATACATTCTAGTGGATATCTGTCTTACCCAAGACTGTCACATGTTAACAATACAATCTAGTGGATATCTGTGTTACCCAGGCCAGGACTGTTACATGTCGACAATACATTCTAGATGATATCTGTGTTACCCAGGACTGCCACATGTTGACAATACATTCTAGAGGATATCTGTGTTACCCAGGACTCTCACATGTCGACATACATTCTAGCATATATCTGTGTTACCCAGGCCAGGACTGTTACATGTCGACAATACATTCTAGTGGATATCTGTGTTACCCAGGACTGTCACATGTCGACATACATTCTAGCATATATCTGTGTTACCCAGGCCAGGACTGTTACATGTCGACAATACATTCTAGTGGATATCTGTGTTACCCAGGACTGTCACATGTCGACATACATTCTAACATATATCTGTGTTACCCAGGCCAGGACTGTTACATGTCGACAATACATTCTAGTGGATATCTGTGTTACCCAGGACTGTCACATGTCGGCAATACATTCTAGTGGATATCTGTGTTACCCAGGACTGTCACATGTTGACAATACATTCTAGTGGATATCTGTGTTACCCAGGACTGTCATATGTCGACAATACATTCTAGATGATATCTGTGTTACCCAGGCCAGGACTGTTACATGTCGACAATACATTTTAACATATATCTGTGTTACCCAGGACTGGCACATGTTAACAGTACATTCTAGTATATATTTGTGTTACCCAGGCCAGGAGAGTTACGTGTCGACAATACATTCTAGTGGATATCTGTGTTACCCAGGCCAGGACTGTCACATGTTGACAATACATTCTAGTGGATATCTGTGTTACCCAGGACTGTCACATGTTAACAATACATTCTAGTGGATATCTGTGTTACCCAGGACTGTCACATGTCAACAATACATTCTAGTGGAAATCTGTGTTACCCAGGACTGTCACATGTCAACAATACATTCTAGTGGATATCTGTGTTACCCAGGCCAGGACTGTTACATGTCGACAATACATTATAACATATATCTGTGATACCCAGGACTGTCACATGTTAACAGTACATTCTAGTATATATTTGTGTTACCAAGGCCAGGACAGTTACGTGTCGACAATACATTCTAGTGGATATCTGTGTTACCCAGGCCAGGACTGTCACATGTTGACAATACATTCTGGTGGATATCTGTGTTACCCAGGACTGTCACATGTTAACAATACATTCTAGTGGATATCTGTGTTACCCAGGACTGTCATATGTCGACAATACATTCTAGTGGATATCTGTGTTACCCAGGACTGTCACATGTTGACAATACATTCTAGTTGATATCTGTGTTACCCAGGACTGTCACATGTTAACAATACATTCTAGTGGATATCTGTGTTACCCAGGACTGTCACATGTTGACAATACATTCTAGTGGATATCTGTGTTACCCAGGACTGTCACATGTCGACAATACATTCTAGTGGACATCTGTGTTATCCAGGACTGTCACATGTTGACAATACATTCTAGTGGATATCTGTGTTATCCAGGACTGTC